TTTTCTTACCCTTTTTTGATATTTTTTCCTAACATTTTAAATTTTTTCCCATTTTGATTTCTTTTGCCCTAATATATACTTATTATTTTTTCATTTTGGTCCTTTTTTTGACTCATTTTTAAATTTTTACTCTGAAACTTTATTTTAAAAAAAAGAGTATTTAAATGAATAATGGGAATACTTTTTGGATTTTTTTCTCTTTAAAAGAGTATTTTAAAAAACTCAGAGGTAAAAGTTGTATTTAGATAAAATTGAGGGGTACTTTTTGGATTTTCTCTCTTTTTGTATCTATCTTCTTCTTCTTTTTTTTTTCTTCCCTTTATCAAGGGACTCTCTCTTTCCTTTTACATAAAGAAGGAAAAAAAAATATATATATATATATATAAATACATACAATTTTTATAAACAAAATGCAGCAATATCAATTTTTATTAGGAGAGTATATCACGTACGTAATACATTGACTTCTAAATACTCCACTCACTCGAAAGTAGAAGAAACTATTAGATCTTCATTAAAAAAAAAAAGAAAAAAAAAAGAAACAAACAAACAAACAACAGCCGGCAACAAAAACCAAAAAGTAGTACTAGCAACCAAAAACTCACATGCAATAAACTAATTCTTGTCCAAATTACCGGGGAACAATTTGAACTTCAAACCGGAATTGCCCAAACTTTTCCTCAATTACTTTGGACAACTTCTCCACCATTTGAGGGCTCAAATAATTCATCCAATCCCCCACCTCTCCCTTTCTCGAAATTCAATAAAGATTTTCCTTTTTTGTTGACCTCCAACTCCTTAAGGTTCTCGAAACTACATAGCTTTACTATCTTTTCAATCACACCATTTCTTTCATCCTCCAAAGAAAAGGGACACTTGAAGAATTCTGCCAATTTCTTCACGTAGATTAATGTCATCTTTGAGGTCTTCCTACGTCAAAAATAACACCTTTTCAGGCGTATCTAAGGAGACGTTTGGTTCATGGATTAAAATCATGTGATTAAAATTATTTTCGATTTACGTGTATTTTTTATGAGAGAAAATACTGTAACGAACTATGAATCATCATGATTCAAATTATGGTTTGAATATTCCAACCAAACATCCCCTAAGCTTTCCTTCCAATACCCCAACATGTGGTCCCAAAAGGGTCCATACCCAATGAGCCCTTGGCAAAACATTTCAAAGGCTTCCTCAAGCGAAAGAGGGAACAAAGAGCCCATGAAATGCCATGTGGAGACGAAAGCGTCAAAAGGGTTTCGGCAGATGTAAACGATACGCCAATTTGAAGATTTTAAGGAGTCGGCCGAAGAAGGGTATAGGGAATGTGTGTGCCGAAAAGTCTAGGAGGCCAATTACCAGAATTGGAGAAGTCAGGAATTTGGTTGTTGGCGTAGAGTTTAGTACTCAAAGAAAGGTACAAGGTCGTGGGGGTTGGAGGTCAGCAAAGGGTGCTCGGCGTCGTCGGAGACGGGGAAGCGGTCGCGATTAGCGACAGCGAAAGCCAAGGCTTTGAGCCAAGTGGTTCCTGATTTTGGGATGCTGGCCACTACAACATCCGAGTCGAAAGCTTGGAAGTGCTTTTGGAAAGATGCAATGGCTTGAATCTCAGCTGTTTGGCACCAAAATCCTTGGTATTGGTAGAGATGGGAAGTTCTCGACCCTCTCGTTTTGGGAAGAGAGAGCAACATTTGTTTGCACTCATCACTTACTTGTTCTTCTTCTGATTCATCAGCTTTTGTGTAATTGGTGACACCCATATTGATAATATATATATATATATATATAGAAGCTATACAGAACGAGTTATTTATGAGAATTCTCATGGATTTACGCATATATATACACACACACACATGATATAGTGAGCCATGAAACGTAAAAAGTACGTTAATATTTTGTGCAAACAGATAGCCAACCTGGACACGTTTAAAACGTGCTAAATTATTTGTTGTGGGGTTCTTCTAATAGCTGGCAACCGGCCTACAATGAAAGCACATATATATATGAGTACGGTCAGAATTAGAAAGTGAATTTAATTTCTGCACTTTAATCACGCGGAGTTCTCCATTTGCAATTTTCTTTGGCTGATGATCATGACAATGTTCTTAGCAAAATCAGGAGACCACCGCTAGACAGCTCAAGGACAATTTGTTAGTAGATCTCTACTAATCTCTACGAGAGATATCCCATTTGATTCATGAATTTAAACCATACGGTTTAAATTAGAATTTGAAGTTTATGAGAGCAAACACTGTAGCAAAACCTTTTAAATTCAAATTTTTTCATGAGAGAAACATTGTTTGAATCGGGGTTTAAACCCCTAAACCAAACAAGCCAAGCCAATAGTCCTCCTCATGTTAAGAGAGACCCACTAAATGAGCGATCAGTGCAACGTAATGCATATTCATTGGATGCTAGTTATCAAGGGTATGTTTGAAAATGTATACTCAAACTATAATTCTTGATTCTGACGTTTGAAATTTAAAATTTTTGTGAGATGAAAATACTGTAGCAGAATTAATGATTTGAATTTGATTATATGGAACAAATTACGGGCCCTGAAGCTTACATAGTACAATGGCTTTCGAATTACGCAAACTAGTAAAATTATTGACTGACGTACGTTGTAAGACACTAGTGCTGGCTTGAGTAAAAACTGTGAATGCTCCATATTTCATTACTCAACGATACCATCCACACATGGAGAAAGAGGTCCACATATCCCGTGACTATTTTGGTTTTCTCTTGCCAGACTTGTGTGATCGGCCTTCTATTGGACAAATATCAGGCTCTCCGTCATTCACTTCAGCTTATGCATTCACAGAAAAAAAAGATACTTCAAGAAGTTCGTCAATCTCTTCAAGTGGAACACATTAGTATCTTTTCTTACCAAAGAGGAATAGTAATTTTTACATCTAAATGAAAATTCAAATTACAAGGTATATAATTGTGTTTTATGAGTTCATATCACATGTTCAATCTTCAGTATCTCAAATGATGTCTGACCAATGACGTAATGCTATATTATTTAGTTTTACTCAAATATTAAAGCATGAAAAATTAGTTAATTAAAAAAACATTTCAAATTTTTTAAATGGCGTGGCATAATATGATTAATTTGAGACACTAGCTAAAATTGGATATGGAATCTCTGTCTTTTACTTACACTCTACATGCGCAAACAACTTATAGAATAAAATCGATAGAGATTTAGACCACTTTTTTCCACACCATATAATGGAGTGAGATCTTAAAGTACATAAAAGTCAGTCAAAAGGTATTTCAAATTTTGCAAATGAGATAGCATATTTAGTTGATTAGATAGCATTTGAGACACCAAGAAGGTCATTTAGTTCATGACTTCAAATTGTATGGATTTGAACCAGGAGGGTTTAATAAGTGTGTAAACCGTTTCGGTTCAAACCTTTGAAGACATGAGGGAGTTGAGTTTACAAATTCTGAATTTTGGATAGTTTAAATGTCACATTAACCATTTTTTACTTTTGTTCAACCAAACACTTGTTTGAACCTTGTTCATATGTTCAAACCCTTTGAATCAATGAGCCAAAACAAGACCCAAATATTGGACGCATGTATGTCCAATTCGATAGAGTTGGCCGTTAGCGTCTGGACCTCAGATTCTGGAGGCGTTTTCAGAAGTACTTATTAAATCCTTTGTAAAAGTTGGTTTGCCATTGCTAATTCTTTTGCTTTTAAATTGGATTTGCAGGGAGTTATTGCAACCATTAATTTTGCTTACTAGTTTGTTTCAAGCCATAATGTTTTCTCCAAATTGCCCCTCTTTCTCGCTGCCATAATGTTTTCTCCAAAATGCCTCTCTCTCTCTCTTTCTCTCTCTCTCTGTCTCTGTCTCTCTGTCTCTCTCTCTCTCAACAGTTGAGGAGATTCTGAATCCAAAATGCCTCTCTCTCTCTCTTTCTCTCTCTCTCTGTCTCTGTCTCTGTCTCTCTCTCTCTCTCAACAGTTGAGGAGATTCTGAGTTGCTTTTAAACATGAAGAACTTAGTTATATCTACCTCAAGGTGGAGATTGTACGCTGGCGTGGCAATTCAAGATGTAAATCGATGAACAATCAGAGAAGACCTTTAGTAACTAACAGATTTCTATTCTTAATTAGGGGATTTATATTTCTCAGGTTGTTATATAACTGAGAAAAATCGAGTCTAAGAGATGTAGAAATACATGAGACTCTTGTAGTTAGAAAGTGAGAGTTCAGTTTAATTTAGAGATAATTTCTGTGGAAGTGAATTGGCTTCCTGGTGATGAGATTAGAAATTGTGTTCTTGAATGGTTGTACTGGTTCTTGTCTCGGAGATCAATATAAGAAGTTGTTTTTCTGGAATTTAGTTTTCTTGTTTTTATTCGCTTGGATTGAGATTTTTCTGGAGATTCGGTAGCATGACTCAGATTGTCTTTAGAGTACGTCTCAATTGGCATCTAACCAATCATATCATGCCACATTATGTAAAAAATTTAAACTGTTTTCATGTAATATAATTTGATTGATTACGTACCGTTAAAACGCTAAAATTAGGTAGAAGATCCGGACCGAGCAATTTCCTAATCCTCAACTCATGTATTATGTGTAATAATTAGCTGTATAGAAAGGAAAAACAAAAGGGTTGGCCGCGATAAATAAAGAATATGAGAAATCGTAGGAAAAGTAATGTTGTTTGTTCATAGGCTTAAGATCTGTAATCTTTTCATACATTGTAACTGTTTGGCTATGATGCGCAGGAATTAAAGGAACGAGCGAACGACTCTTTACACTTTGATCAAACTATTTAAACACGTAATCTCAAAACTAGTATCACATTTACATTAACATGAAGTCATAGGCGCGGTAGCTTAATTAATTTCAAGGTTAATTTGATCGGACCAAAATGTTGGTCTTTAACGTTATAAAGCTAATATATTTTACCCTCAAAGAATATTGGTCATTAAAAGGCTTCTTTTCCTTTTTGGTTTTTTGTTCAATTAGATCCTTACGAAGAATATGCTGAGCTCAGTGCCATTGTTAGCCTCCGGACTCATCATGTGGTAAGTCTCCGAGTCCTTTGACCCTACAACTCTCTCAAAATGTGCTCTCAAGTACGCCAGCTCCCCGTCCATCGCCGCCTGCTCCGCCGCCACCGCCATCGAGTCGCTTGGCAGCACGCCGGCCCCCATAGACACTGCATGAAGAAGCTGCATGACGCCGAGGTCGTCGTCCGTCGGCTCCCGCCTCACGGCGTACCCTGACTTCCTGCCGTTGCAGTAGAGCGTCCATATCGGCTCCTCAATGATCTTCGTCTTCTCCGACGGGTTCTTTTCACACTCGAGAGCGATCCTGACGAGCCCGGTCCCCATGTCTTGGAGCAACTTTCCGGTGGGGATGGCCAGCTCCAAAAGAAGAATGGGGAGACACCTAGGGTTTTCTTGGATGGCTAGGTTAACTCTGGTCTTCCGGTATCCGAATAGGGTTCCGGTCATTCGAGTGCCGCCGTGGACGTGTCCGTCCCCCTGGCGGCTCCCGTGGAGCTGAACGGGCATCTTGCATGCCGGAGTGATGATCGGGAAGGACCGGAAGACGGAGCGGAAGCGGCGGAGGAGCTTGGTGGACTTGGAAGGGCCTCTTCTATGGGATGGCTGGAGGGAAATGGGTGGCCTGTTGGGTGACGGAGGGACAGCCGCCGGCGGTGGTTGTTGGACCGCCATGTGATCAGGATGTTAATGTTGAGCTTGTTAGCTAATTGATGTGTTTTTGTTGAGGGCATATATGTATGATTTATAAGTAGTTAGTTGTGGATTGCACGTTTTGGGGGGTTTCAGTTTTGATTTGTTCAGAGTTGAAAACGAGGATATGGGAGTGTTTTCAGAAATTGTTTTTTTTTTTTTTTTTTTTTTTGGGTTTTTGAAAATTTTTTTTTTTTTTTTTTTTTTTTTTTTTTTGGGTTTAGTAGTTAGTACTGACTTATTTGTTTTTTGGTCTATATATAAACAAATTCAAGTTATATGGAGGTTGCAAATGAAATGTCATTTGCTGTAAGAGTTTTTAAGGCCTCGTTTGCGGATTCGAGTTTTCAATTCAAATTGAGATGTGACATTTTTTGAGAGATTTTCACTGTAGCAGAAAAAGCTAAATGTGACATTTTATGAAAACTTTTTACTGTAAACTGAAAACTCGAATCCATAAAATAAACGAGTTCTAAGTATTTCACCGCATTCAACAATTTTATTCAGATTTACAAAGTAAATATCTTATCGTACAAGAATAGTAAATAAAATAAATAAATAAATGTATGATCTCAACCATCAGGTTTTCAATAATTAGCAAATCTGTAACTATTTGTTTTGGGGGCAAATTTATGGTACGACATGCGTTTTTGTTTCATCAATAGGAAGTGTATTTTAGCTGTTTGATAAGTTTTTCAACGTTTAACATTGAACAGAAATTCTCTGTATGGACATGCACAGATTTAACAGTTAATTAAAAACTAGAGAGAAAGAGAAAAATAGGTCAAGACTTGAAATGAATTAAAATTAATAGGCTAATAGTTTACATAAGTTAATAAATAGGCTAAATTATTGTTTTTGTCTATAACTTATCTGGTTATGAACCATAACTTGATAAATTATTGTCCATAATTCACGATTTTTATCTATAATTTGTTTGGTTATGAACAATAACTTGACAAGTTTGTCCATAACTTATTTAGTTATGAACCATAACTTGACAAGTTATGGCCTATTAATTTCTATAACTAAAAATTAACCTATATACTTTCTTAAACTTTTCATATTGACATATTTTCTACTATTTTTGTAAAAACTAATCTAATGGGTAAAATAATAATTTTCATTAGTGGAGCAAAAATATATGTTCTATCATAAAGGACAAATAAAAGAAAAAAATAATGATGGTACGGTTACTAGAAACAACAGCTTATGCTGACTAATCTTATATGGAAACGAAAGAATTTGTTCAATTAGCTTCAAGTTAGATTAACATTAAATGAATATATCTTTCTTTTTCAGAGCTTCGTTTAATTTCAAAATTAAAACATATATAGGGTTAGTTTATTTCACCGATTTGAGTTTTTAATTTTATATTTTTACAATTAAAAGCTCTCAGAAAATATCACATTTAGAGCCCGTTTGGTTCATGAATTAGAACCATGAGATTATAATAATTTTTTATTTACGTGTATTTTTTGTGAGAGAAAATATTGTAGCGAACCATAAACCATGATTCGAATCAGATGATGAATCCAACAATCAAACGGGCTCTTAACTTTTTCTGTTACAATTAAAAACTCTTAAAAAATATCACATCTCAACTCGAATTAAAAAATCGAATACACAGAGCGAGCGCGAGGCTATAATGTCAAATTCCTATACACAATATAGGCTAACTAATTGAAAGAATATTTATACGATGTACCAGGAATCTTTGATATTGTCGAACGGCTCCATTCACCCGACAGTTCAACGTGGGGAAGTGACATACCAAAAGTCAGCTCCTCTGAAGTCCACAGACACGTTTATTTTAGGCAATCTATTTTTCAAAAGAGAAAAAAGATAATTATTAATATTTGGACAAGTCCACGGATCAACGCGGGCTTTTAATTCTTTTCCCTTTAAATGAAATTAAAAAACTTATAATTTCTTAATTTGTTTAATAAAAGCTTTAATTTTTTATTTTTTAATATCCTTTTCCACTTTAGGTTTTGGCTTTCAACCCTTCGTATTCGTCCTTGTGTAATGCAACATTTCGTATGAAGTTTTATCCACCCATCACCAGTTATTTAGGAGATACTTGTTTCTTGTATTCATTCTTGATTCTGAATCATGATTTATGATTCTCTATCGTATTTTTCTCTCACAAAAAACACACGTAAAACAAGAATGATTTAATTCTGAATCCATGAACCAAACGTCCACTTAAAGTTCAAATCAAATATTACTAAAGTTGTGTAGTAAAATGTTTACCAAGTTCTTGTACAATCACGATAATATCATAAATGGCCATTTTTCATTTATTTATTGACTTATTCGGAAAATATTCGCTGCAAACTAAACTCCAAAGCAGTTAAATTCTATAAAAGAATTAATTATAAAAATTCTCCCAAGCTATAACCTCTCTCTTTTAAGCTACGAAGATGCCCTCAATTTTCAAAATGCAACACATATTTTGTTTAAGAAAAAAATAGACAACTAAAATAGACACTTTAATAATTGTTCTTGAAAAATATATCTAAAAAGGGGAACAAAATGAATATATTGAAGTTTACTTCAAAAAAAAAAAAAAAAAAAAAAAAA